TGGGGGTTGGTACCGCGATTCTGGAGTGGCACTTGGCCGGGAAACTAACTGGCTGAATTTTGATGCCGGAGCTCGCTTGGTTGCCGAGTTGAAATGCCCGGACAGATGAACACACACAAACACAGACACACACACACACACACACAGGGCCGTTGCAGTATGCGTTTTTGCAACTTGCAAATAAATAAAAACTCATAATAATGCGAAAACGCATGACCTTACCTGCAAGCCTGATGATCCACTGTCTAAGTTTTCATTTCTCTTCGTGCAAAATTCACAGCAGTTTTTCATGTTGAGGTTATAATTTCACGCGACCGCACTGCGCAGCACTTCAGTCTCGGCCGGCGCCCTTTTCTCCCTGCATACAGGAAAAGGCCAAATCCCTATCACCATGAGTACATATGTTAAACTGTGAAGCAACAACCATTTTTACTGTCAACCACCTGATTGCTTCAATTTTGGCTGGGAAACACATGATCACACCACAAGCCTGGTGCTTTATAACCTGGGATTTGCTTCAGGGAATGTTTCGCGAAAGTAGGACGTAAAAAGTGACAAAAATGTAGGAGGGAGGTTGGTTGTGATGGATAGGGCGGTGAAGCAAAAAGGGTGTGTTGAAACAAACTTAAGGCGGCTTTGTCTTCCTGGCATATGCCAGTACTAATTTACCTGTTGAAATCAATGAATGTATTGGTTATCTTGTTGGCGAAGCCGAGCCCTCGATCTCTTGACAGCAACAAGAATGTTGTACCTTCTCACAACCCCAACAAAATTTCATCAATGCGGGAAATAAAATAAATGGCCAGCGCACCGATTGCCGGTGCGTAGATGCGTTTTTTGTATAGTTACCCGCAGGTTTTTTCGCCAACAGCACCTGTTTTCCTTGCAGATGCTTCTAGCTAAACGAATTAAGACTGGCCGCCAGGAGTGTCAAGAAACCCCCCTCAAAATTTCAGCATTTTAGCTTCTTGGTTCCCGAGTTAACGACATACCCGTAAAAAACTTTCACCGGCCAGTACATGCTTACCACACATACCCTGCGTTTAGTTTTGAGCTCATTAACACCTACATGGACGGGAAACATTTCCTTAAAATTCCAGTCTTCTTAGCTCCTCAGGTTCCCGAGCTAACAACTTATCCGAAAAAAACTTTTGTGAGTTCATGCGTGGAAACCACGCTTACCTGGGGGCTGGGTTTGAGCTCATTAATACCTACATGAATGGGGAACATCTCGTTAAAATTTCAGCTTTCTAGCGTTTCTGGTTCCCTACTTAGCAATTTCCGTGCCAAAAACTTTGGAGGGCCCGTACGTGGGTACCACGCAGGTAAGAGCGCCCAATTTGGGGATTGGGGCCCGTACATGCATGTAGATTAATTTCCCAAAGTTTTAGCCCTCTAGCTCTTATAGGTTTTGGAATGAAAACCGGCACAGCAGCACACACAGACAAACACACACACACACGGACAACCCCTCGTCAGTATGCGTTTTCTGCATTACATAAACGCGAAAAACGCATAAAAAGAGATAAGGACACTTGTAAAAAAGTGCTCATCTTCAGGATGATTAATTAACTTAGTAGTAGAGGTTTATTTTCATGTTGAATGGTGAGATTTTTGAGCAGGAGCAGTATGTGTCCTTTAACTAAAACCCGGAAGATGTGCACTTCCGAGGTTTGGAAGTGTGCGTTTTCCAGGTTTTCAACAACTCATAACTAGAAGTTCAGAAGGTGTTTGCAATGAATCTGCAGGACTTTATCCGTGAGAATTGAAACACATAGAAGCTTCCCATTAACTGGTGTGTGACTCAGTGACAGGAAAAATTTCTAGACTCAGCCATATGTCGGGGGACTTGAACGTTGCAGTGTACAGTCCACTTCTGAACTCACGTGAAAAAATAAACTCCTTTCAGGAGCAGTGGTGCGGTGAGCCAGAATTTCGCATGATTGGCCTTGTAATGGCCAGCGGAAAGCATGTGCGGTCCATACATTTGTTGCCTACAGCTAGTGATATGTTGAAATAAATACGATGGTACTGTGTGTACAAAGCGCTTTTGCAATTAGCTGTTACCGATATGCTGAGCAGCAACAGTGCGCATAAGAAGCGGCTGGAGTCATTTTGATCTCTTCGAAAGCTGTAAACTGCGAAACCCTTGAGACTACTCAGAGATTCGAATTTTCACCTCCAGTTGTGTATTAGCAAACTTACTGGGTTTAATCAAACTTACTTTTGCAAATTAGGACGTCTGAACTCCCACTTTGTAGCTTCAGTTTGTAGCATTATCCTGTATTTCCTACTAAAATCATCGGGGAATCAACATGAGAATTAAGGAAGTAGCTTTGACCTTCAGAGTTAGAATCTCAAAATTTCGCGCTTCTAAATTTTTCGTTTCGAGCTTTATCATTTATGACTTTATATTTCACGATATTGGTTGTTCGGGAAGTGGCTGAAGTGATAACGTTTTTTCTTACTAGTTCCAACTCGTCCGTGAGCAAATTATTTTTCTGTGCGGACGTGCAAGTACAACAGCTTTTGTTTGGTACTCACTACGAGAGCATCACTTGCCACTTATCGAAAAACTTTTATTATTTTCTCCTCGAATTTTGTACGTTAGAAATCGTTTGTTCGTTTTAAAGTTTTTATCTTTGTTCCGCTATTAATGCTGTGCAGTTCAGTGGAATCGCATTTGTGTTATATGTTCTATTTCGGCAGTTTTATCACAGAACTGTGAAGGCTATGAAAGTTGTGATTTTGGAAACGGAGTCTCGGAATGCATATCAAGCCATAAACCCCAGGATGACTTTCAGACCTCGCCATCTCCGCATCTGGTACTTCACAATTCAAATTAAGCCAGTTCTCGAGTTGGAGGACATCTCGCGGTATGTTGACACGGGGAAGAATGTTTGAATCAGGAGTAATGTTGCACTCCAGATATTGTTTTCGTAAATATTACTTTCGCGGGTATTATTTTACGAATAGGCGCCACACGATGTTCCTTTTTTCTGTTTCACGTATGTCTTGTATATAATTATTCCTTTCACAGTTTTATGAAATTGCTAGCTATTTATTGTTTCTTTCGTGTTTCACACCTTGTGCCCAAATAACGTTGTTTATCATATCCTGATACAACACGCCACATTAACAGTCCATTAAGGGCATGGTTCATTTGAAGTTCTTGCTGCGACGACAGTCACCGTTAACATAAAAACTGGGCTGTGCGGCACGAAAACTAAGCCCTCAACATTATGTTGGAAGCTAAATATGTCACTGGAAGAATTTGTGAATCTGGTTCAATCACTCATTCTGTCCTCTTCGTCTGTTGCGTCGAAGCAGGTTCCAGATTCTTATCTGCCAAAAAGTTTGGGACGAAGGATGTACATCATTTGTAATTTGCGGCCGACTATATGTTTTCGTCTAAAATTTAGGCTGATTCTTGATATCGAGGACTGCCAAACTGCGAAATAGTTTTTATGCGTTTTTTTCAGCTATGCAATGCAGAAAACGCATATTGACGAGAGGTTGTCTGTGTGTGTTTTTGTGTGTCTGTGTGTGCGCTGCGCGTCTCTACCGATTTTTCATCTCGAGACCCACGAAAGCTACGGGTTTGAAACTCGGGGAACTTGATCTGCATGCGTGTGCGGGCCTCCATCTCCGAAATGGGCGCTCTTACCCGCGCGGTACTCACATACGAGCTGCCAAAGTTTTTTTCGGATATGTTGTTAACTCGGAAGCCTGAAAAGCTAGGAAGTTGGGGTTTTAGGAGGATGTTCCCCATCCAAGTAGGTACTGATGAGTCCAAACCAGCTCTCGGGTATGCGTGGGACCCAAGTACGGGCTTGTGAAAGTTTTTCGCGGGCAAGTCGCTAGCTTGGGGATCAGAAAGCTGAAATTTTTCGGGAGCGTTCACTGTCCACGTAAGTCTTAACGAGCTTTAAACCAGTCTCCGGATACGCGTGGTACCCACGTAGTGGCCCGCTAAAATTTTCTTCGGACAGGTTGCTAACTTGAGTACTTCAAAAGCTAGACGGCTGGAGTTTTAAGGAAATGTTCCCCGCCCAAGTAGGTATTGATGAGTTTAAACCCAGCCCCCGGCTGTGCGTGGTACTCACGCGCGGGCCTGCCAAAATTTTTTTTGGGCAAGTTGCTAACTCGGGAACCTGAGAAGCTAAAAAACTGGAATTTTAGAGGGATGTTCCCCGTCCACGTACGTCTCAACGAGCTCAAACCCAGACACTGGGTATGCGTAGTATCCACGTATGGGCCCGTGAAATTTTTTTCGGGTAAGTCGCTAACTCAAGAACCCGAAAAGTTAGAAGACTGCAGTTTTAGTGGGATATTCCTATCCACGTAGGTATTAATGATCTCAAACCTAGCCCCCGGGTATGCGTGGTGCCCACTTACGGGCCCGCCAAAGTTTTTTTCGAGTAAGTCGCTAACTCGGGAACCTGAAAAGTTAAAAGACTGCAATTTTAATGGGATATTCCCCGTCCACGTACTTCTCAACGAGCTCAAGTCCAGGCATCGGGCATGCGTGGTAATCACGTACGGGTTAAGTTGCTAACTCAGGAGCCAGGAAAGCTAACAAGCTGAAATTTTAAAGGAGTGTTTCCTGACGGTTCTGGCGGCTAATCTAAATTTATTTAGCTAGAAGCATTTGCCGGAAAAGCGGTGCCGATATCGACAAAAACTGCGAGGGACTATGCATAAAACGTATCTTCGCACGGGCAGCCCATGCGTTGGCCAGTTGTTAGAAATTGATGTTCCTGACTGAGGATGATGTAAAAGTCGAGGATACCAGACTTTTGCCTAAATTTAAGCTGTATGATGTAGACTGAAGCGTCGCTGAAGAGGTCCTTCCGCTTCTCCTTTTCCCCTACCCTTCCTCCGCTCCTCCTCTACCCTCTCCCCCCCCGCCCTTCCCTCCCTCATGCCTGCCTTACTTAGCCCCTACCCTTCTCCTCCGTCTTCGTCCTGTTTTGTTATTTCCTGTTTCATCAAAAGGGATGTCGGGTACGAGCAAGGGGAAGGGAGCGGAAGTTTATCCGGATGAGTGGCGTCTGAATGCACTTATCTGGTGCAACATTTGCGAACAGGTTCCATGCGTACATTTTCACAGCAGTTGTTGCGTCTTTGAATAAAGACACGGCGGCTGTTGTGGAGTCTTACATGCTACTAATATCGCCTCCGCTATCGTTGTTGAGCCAACAGGGATGTAGCCTGAAACGGCTTGATTGCAAATGGACGGTGCTGACTTGGAAAAAGTCGACAGCTAGTTTGTGCCATTGGTAGTGTCCTCAAGTTGCCGGACCAAAAAGGCGGTGTAGGTCTTCGATACCGCTGTGTTGAAGGCGACGACGTGTGGATGCAGCCACTGACGAATAACGAAGAGAGCGCTGGCTCAGGCGGGAAGAGTAGTCACACCAAAGGCGTCTAGGACCACTGCAGCTACGCGGAAAAAATAATCCTTCGGAGGACACGCTGATCATCTCAAAACCGTTGGGCATCCAGCTCCAGTGATGGTACCCGCAGGAGGACATACAATATATGGAAGAGGTGGTGTATTCGAGATATGCAGCGCAGGGAGAAAATAGGTTGCATTAGCTGTTCTCGCCCCAGTGAGTGCATTCCGTAATATTCCAATTGTCCGTTTCCATACTGATTGTGCATGCAATTTAGGTGTTGCTAATGTATGTTGCTCGTCTGTTCTTCCATTTTTCTTTCGTTTTGTATTTCCATTAGTATCAATACTTACCGCTACCAATTGCTTAGTGTTTCTCGTACCACTTATATCATATCCTCCTTCCATTTTCCAGCTTTTTTTTTATCATAATTAGGTGAGAGACCAGACGTTGCCTGTGATTTTTGAAAACTACAACAAGCACCAACGCTGCAGTGATAAGATGTGGGAAGGGTCAGGTGGTAGAAGTATGGTTCCTCACAGTTGCATTGGTGCTGTCTTTCAGGAAGCATTTGATAAATTTTTATGTGATTTTGCATATATGCAAATACAAAAGCGCATAGTGTGATGACCCATGATGTGCGTGTTTGTATGTTTGTGTATGTGTGTGTGTGTGTGTCTGTGTGTGTGTCTGTATGTGTGTGTGTGTGTGTGTGTGTGTGTGTGTGTGTGCGCGCGCACGTCTGTCCGAGTATTTTAACTCGATAGTCAATCAAGTTCCGACGTGCCAATGGCTCCCTGGCTATGTGCCATCCCAGGACCGCGGCCCTCACACACCCTGAGCCCCACGTACGAGTACGTGGAAATTTAAGTGCGAGAATTGCTAGCATGGGAACCAGAGAAACAGAGACGGCCGAAATTTCGAGGAGATGTTCCCCTTTAAGTGCAACGTAAAAATTCTAAATTCACCCCCCAGGCGCGCGTGGTACTCACGCACAGACGCATGAAAATTTTGGCGGTAAAACTGCTAATGCGCGAACCTGAAAAGCCGGAAAGCTGAAGTTTTAACGGGATGTCCTCTGTCCCAATACGGCCTACAGAGTTGAAATCCGGCTCCCGTGCGGGCACTTTAAGGCTTTGGCGGGAAAACTGCTCACTGGACAGCCGGGTCATTATCAAAGAACGGCTGTTAAGTGGAAATCATTCATTTTTATGCGTTTTTGCATATATGCAAATTGCAAAAACGCATATTGGGAAGAGGCTGTGTGTGTGTGTGCGTCTGTGTATCTGTGTCTGTGTGTTCGCACTTTTTGCCACCCACTTTCAACTCAAGAACTAGAAAGCTAGAAGGCTGAAACTTTGGGAGTACGTTCTCGTACCATGTGCGACCCTCCCGTTTTAATTTCACCGCCCGTGGACACCTGGGTACCGCATGCAGACGCTTCAAAAAAATACGCAAATTTTTTGGCGGAAAAGAGATTTCGGGAACCACACAAGCTAAGGGACTGAAAGTTTGTAGGAATATTCCCTGTGCATGTGCTGGCTAAAGATTTCAAATTCAGCCCCCAGGTGTGTGTGATACCTACGTAAGGGCGTATGAAAGTTTTGACGCGAAAATTAATAACTTGGGGACCAGAAAAGCTAGTAAGCTAAAATTATGGAGGAATGTTCCCTGTCCAAGTACTACTTAAATAGTTCAAATTCAGTCTTCATATGTACGTGGTACTCACGTAACGGCGTATGAAAGTTTCTGCGGGAAAATTACTAACTCGGCAACCAGAAAAGCTGGACGGCTGAAATTTTAAGGAGATGTTCCCTGTCCACGTGCAAATTAAAAATTTCAAACTCAGCCTTCCAGGCACGTGGTGTACCCACACGGGTATGTAAAAGTTTTGGCGGGAAAATTGCCAACTCGGTAACCAGAAAAGCTAGAAGGCCAAAATTTTGGGGGAATGGACCCTGTTAAAATACAATTCAAATATTTCAAATTTAGCCCCCAGCTATGCGTGGCACTCATGTAAGGGCATATGAAAATTTCTGCGAGAAAATTACTAACTCGGTAACCAGAAAGGCTGGAAGGCTGAAATTTTGGAGGAATGTTCCCTGTGCAAGTACAACTCAAGTGTTTCAAATTCAGCCTTGAGGTATGCGTAATTGTTACATGCGGCCACTTAAAAGTTTTGGCGGAAGAATTTCTCAGTGAACAGCTAAGTTAATTTTAAAGAACGATCATTAAATGGAAATTGCACATTTGCTTTATGCAAAATTTATTGTGATTTATGCTAGTGACCGCAAAAGGTAGATGTAAAGCAACAACCATTCGTGCAGTTATTGTCCTGAGTACTTCAAATCCGGTGCGAAATCGCACGAGCCTGCCCGGTTCATTCCAGCGTGGGTTGTTAATGCAAAATTTACGATGACACGCTAGCAAGTGCACAAGGCAAGTGTGAAGCAGCAACCATTTATAAAGTTAACAATTTGACTGCTTCAATTTTAGCACAAAAACATCGGCGAGCTTGGTGCGTTCCAGCCTAAAGTTATAATTATTTCCAAAAAGCTGAAAAGTCTGCTTGTTCCGGTGTTACACCATCACCGTTATCAGGTTAATTTGGATCGGGGATCATTGTGTTGTGCGCGTGTTGATCCATCCACTGCACGTGGCTGTTACAACAGCAAAATGTGCCGAATGCTGCCAGTTGTGACTTGCACATGGCTGGTTGAAGACGAATTTGGCGACAGCGCAGCTGCTGCTGGCTTCGATGTTTTCCAGGTGTCCCGGTTGAAAAATGAGTGATCATGCACTGGATATGCATCCACAATCTGACGCTCACTCGTTCGATGCACGCTACCCGAATAAGTGCCCGTGATGTAGCGTACCGTGTTGTGATTGCCATTTGAACATGATAGGTGTGGGGAAGGGAGCAAAAAATTGATTGTGTATTATCAGCGGTCGTTGCCGGAGTGATGTGCTACAGTGTAAACACAGCAGCACGAGGTGCTGCTGAGGTGAATTTTGAAATGCATGCATCAGTCCCAACTTCCACTCTCTTCCCTACCGGCCGCTTGATCGTAGCAATTGATTGCACAGATGTCATGCAAACAGACTAGCCCTTTCCTGCCGCGGTTGTCCAACGTTTAGGCAGTATTATTTTGCTTCATGATTTCTTTTTTTTCATAAATGGATATCTGACCTGGTTATGTACAAGCTATCACATCCATCTTCTTGTGTCAATGTAGAAGGTGGACGTAACTTTTCCGATTAGTTACTTGTTTTCCGGGGTACTACGGTTGAATCGCGGCAGCAGCGATATGACCAAAAGTTGCGTGGCGTTGTGCGTTGTCTGTGGGTGCGAGAAATGCGAAAAATGAGACTTCAGTGGAGATGATAGATAGTGCTCAGCTCTGGTATAAAGCTAGGAAACACGGAGCCAGAAAACATAGGTGCAACGTTCAAACATTGAAAGGCGGAATATTCAAGTAAACGGGAGCGAAAAATAGGAGAGCAGTTTAGTCAAGAGGTGCCGCTGTAGCCAACTATGTCCCGGCCGGAACTGTGTCATTCTAATGGACGGGTATCAAAACGGATTGTTCCCTTTTTATTTGGGAATTGGTTTATTGTATAATCCGGTTCTGGGGAGTACGAAATCATTGAACACAAGTGAAAAGCTTTTGAAGCCCTGTTGTTAGGTGCAAAAACATGTTGCGCAAGACACAACATCAAGATGGATTTATCAGTGTGATATTTGCAAGACGTTAATCAAAGGGGAGACTCTGGATTACGCTAGAAATTGAGTCCGTAGTATCATAAAAATAAATTAGAACAGAGAGCTGCTGGCAAAAATGGAAAAAATTGCCAGGAAGACTGTCGTAACTTAAAATTGGCCCCTAATTGTTATCAAATTTGTCCACAAAAAGTGCTGGCATCGTATGCAAAGATGCTAGTGAATTTTTCTTCCGAGGTCTGTTAAAAAAAAAAACGGGACTCAAGGTCACTGAAAAATTGAGTGTTGTCAATCTTGCAAAAACCAATTTGACATCGAACCAGCAATGGAGAGTTTGTTTTCATCAACAGCTCGATTTCTTGGTTTTGACGGTGATGGAGCAAAAAAGCACTGCAGAAAAAAAAATTCTTAACTGCTGCACGGAATTTCTAAATGTGTCTCAATAACGTAGGAGTGAAATCCGAACCGTTTTAGCAGCTTGTCTGAGACTGTTGTCACTATACCTTTGCCGCACCCGATTATTCTGTCAGAATCGTTTTCTAAACACATGAAAACAGAGAAGGATATTCAATGATAACGGAGAGGAAGGTGAAGCCTGAGGGAAGACAGACTTTCCATTTCATAATATCACCCTTTGGAAAATTCGAGAAAGTAGGGTGGTAGTTGTATCAGATGGATGCAAGAAGGCCAATAAATTGTAGTGAAAAGGAGGGATCAATAGACTCAGTGTAGTTTTCGTTTGACTGCAGGTTCATGATGCCCCCTTTCCCTATCTTCTAGCTGGTCAGCGCAGTGCGGAACCGCAGTTCTGAGGTAGCACTTTGCCGGTCAGTTTGTGCAGTGAGTGTCCCAGTTCGGTGGAATTTTAGGAGTGGTTGCAGTGTGTGTGTCGTCCTCTTGTTTTCGCATTCACGCCGCCTAAGCTGCTTCTGTCCTTGCTACGGATGACTGGTACAATTGAACAGATAGTGCCGTAATGTATGTTGAAATATATTAGTGCAATATAACCAGCCGCATATGGTAAGTGCTGCCCCGCTCCTTTGTTGTCTTGTAGATGTTCTCCTATCCTCACTTGATTTGTCCTTGCTATTTCCGCCCATCCCTCCGCCCTTTCTCCCCTCCCTCCTCCGTCCCCTCCTCGCCATGGACAAGGACTTCCATATTTCCGTTTCTCTCCTCCATCGTCATGAATTACAATGACCTTTTCTTATTGCTAGGTGTAGGCAGGGCTGTTCTCGTTTGCTGTTTTTTCTTACCATTGTTTGCATCCATGAAGCCCATGCCAGTACATGTTATACATGGATCTCTTCAATCTACTTCAAATAATTGGCCAACGTACGGGATGTCCGTGCGATGATGCGATTTTTGCATAGTTCCCCGCACTTTTTGTCGCTACCGGCATCGGTTTTTTTGGCAGATCCTTCTAGCTAAACAAATTGAGACTGGCCGCCAAAACTGGCAGGAAACACCCCCTCAAAATTTCAGCTTTCTAGCTTTCCTGGCTCCTGAGTTAGCAATTTACTGGAAGAAATTTTTCACAAGCCCGCACTTGGGTACCACGCATACCTGATGTCTGGTTTTGAGCTAGTTGAGACTTACTTGGACGGGGAACATTTTCCTAAACTACAGTCTTTTAGCTTTACAGCTTCTCGAGTTATGAGCTTACCCGAGAAAAACTTTGGTGAACCCGTGCGTAGGTACCACGCATGACCGAGAGCTGGGTTTGATCTCGTTGAGACTAATGTGGACGAGAAACACCCACTTAATGTTACAGTCTTCTAGCATCTCAGATCCTCGAGTTATGAACTTGCCCGGGAAAAATTTTGGCGGGCCCGTACACGGATACCACGCTTACTCGGAGGTTGACTTTGAGGTCATTAGCACCTACTTGTACGGGGAACACTCCCTTAAAATTTCAGCTTTCTAGCGTCTCAGAATCCCGAGTTATGAATTTACGCGGGAAAAATTTAGGCGAGCCCGTACGCGGATACCACTTTTACCCGGGGGTTGGGTTTGAGCACATTAGTACCTACTTGGACGGGGAATATTTCCATAAAGTTTCAGCCCTCTAGCTTTTCTGGTTCGAGAGTTAGCAGCTTACTCGTAAAAAACTTTGGCGGGCTTTACGTGGGTGCCACGCGGAAAAGATCGCCCATTTTGGGGATGGGGCCCGTACGTGCATGTAGATTAAGTCCCCAAAGTTTCAGCCCTGTAGCTTTTGTGGGTCTCGAGATGAAAAATTGGTACAGACGCGCAGCGCACACACAGACATACACACATACACAGACAACCTCTCGTTAATATGCGTTTTTCGCATTGCATAGCTGCAAAAAAACGCATAAAAATCACCTCGGCCAAATTGTCTACTGAAAAAATTCTTCACTTCCAAGGAAAATAATGTGCGTATCTGATGGATAAGGTGAGTGCGCTGTAAGCAGAAATACTTGAAATAATGGTGCGTTCCTATTCAGATTGCATCGAGAGTTTCGCACAAGTTCCACTGTCAGTTAAATGTGACTGTGGCTTTTAGCTAATAAAATATGATAGTGTTTGCAGCTGCTCAAAATCACTGTCACGGGTGATTTTTGAAGGGCCTGTAAGAATATTTGGACTATATTTTACGGGGCCGATTACGCACACGGCAATATGTCTCTACATAGAACGGCAGATTTGGTATGTGATGACTAGCGCTTGGGAAACCAAAACGGGCGTGACTGGAATGCACTTCTCATTTGACTGCCATCCGCACATCCATCTCTCCGAACAGCAACTGTTCTGGGAACAAAAACTTGCTTGAATGAGAGCATTTGTGCCTAGAAATCCTCGGACTTTTGACATCACTAACCACTACAGCTGCCACCGCTTTTGTTTGAAACAACAAAAATAACTAAATTGTGTGGTGTTAGAATTTTCTGCTCGCCATCTTGCTTTGCACTATTTCTTCGCAATGTCCCTAGGTTGATTGCGTGGAGTCTCTGTCGAATGAAGAGAACGGGACCAAGGAAATTTTTATTTGCTTTTTCTATAAGCAGTATCCCTTTTCAAATGCGGTGTGATGTATTCCGTTTTTTTCATTAAAAAGTCGATAGTAATTTTCTAAAAAATAATAACAGCAATTTCATTTTTATCCAGTCTAATGTTAATATTTACACTTTCTGCTTCCAACAGTTTTTGGAATTTCCGAAAGTATTTTAAACTTACCATTAACAGTTCCTGCAAAACTAGTTTCATTTAATCAGTAATGACTACCAATACAAATGGTCGATATGCCGGGAGGTGATATGTACGGGCAAAAAGAAGAGAGTCAAAAGAGGCAACAAGGAGGCCAAAATAAAATGCTGAGCAGGCCAAGAATTCGCGTTTGACAGGAAGGCTCCAAAAACAAAGAGAGCGATCGCTCGTTGACTGTTATAAGTGGGGGCGTTTTCTCACACTGGCTGTTATTAGCTTTATTATTTTTTATGCGTTTTTGCATATTTGCAAATTGCAGCCCAGGCTGAAACGCACCGGGCGGGCCCGTGCGATCATGCGTTTTTGCACCGGATTTGAAGTACTCAGGTCATTAACTGCATGAATGGCTTTGCTTTACACCTACCTGCTGCGGTCACTAGCATAAATCACCATAAATTTCTGCAAAGTAATGTATAATTTCCATTTAACAGTCGTTCTTTAAAAGTAACCTAGTTGTTCAGTAAGAAATTTTTTCGCCAAGATTTTTATGTGCCCGTACGTAAGTACCACGCATACCTCAAGCTGAATCTGAAATACGTAAACTGCACGTGGACTGGGAACATTCTCCCAAAATTTCAGCTTTCCAGCTTTTCTGATTACCGAGTTAGCGATTTTCCCGCCAAAACCTTCGCATATTCCACGTGGGTATCCCACATGTCTGGAAAGCTGAATTTGAAATTTTTAAATTGCACTTGGACAGAGAATATTCCCTTAAAATTTTATCCTTCCGGCTCTTCTGGTTGCCGCATTAGTAATTTTCCTGCAGAAACTTCCCTATGCCCTTACGTGAGTACAACGCAAGGTTTGGGGCTGATTTTGTAACATTTGAGTTGTACTTGGA